TCCAGCCTATTATCGTGATTTCATGCAATTCCTAGGAAATGTATACATTTCCCAGGATATGTGTGTATTAAAAAATCTTTGAAACAATATTCTATAGATTTCCTAAATAGCCTCGGAATTGTATACACTTCCTAGATTTCATTAATTTCCGGTAGCATACATATGGGATGAAAGGCAACATTTCAATTTTTTTTAGTGCAGTTCCCCCAATTGTAAATCTTAGATCCACTGTGGGGCACCCGTTCAAGAACTTAATTCAATAGTTTTTATATTTGCAGGAAATAGGTTGGGAGTAGTTAAGATCAGAAGCGTCGTGCAAAACTTTTAGGTAAGGAGTTTATTAATATATTCTTTTGCTCTTTTGTTGTAAGCAGGTTGTGGATAATTTATTAAAATCAGAGGTTTAATGTTGTAATATACACTTAATTTAGTACACGTAGAAATTATATAGCGATAAAATGGATTAGAAATATGTTTGATTTGAGGACTCTACAAATAGATTTTCTTGTATGTGGCTTATTTATTTAGCAAAAAATATTCCTAACGCTAAGTGTATACTTATTTTGATTATTACATGCAAATATTAAAAAATTTATAAACACCCCATAAATTAATTTATTAATTATTATTGCTTCGCAATAGGATCGTTTTCACGTTGTTTTTACTATATATTCCTTAACATTCGACCTCAAAGGTAATTTTCAGTTGTATATTTGTGGCGATAATATCAAGAATCGTATAATGATAAAGAATGTTGAGATAAAAACGTTTTGCCTTATTTGCTTCCCTGATGTTACGCTTATGTTTCAGGTAGCAATGACGTCGTGGATGCGGCCATCTTGTGCTCGGACTCGCATTTAGATGTTGCGGTCGGTCGTTTAAACATGCTTTTTAACTTTCTCTTGTTTTCTAAGTGATAATCATTGATAATAATATTTTTTAAAGTGCCGAGTGACCAAGAAGACGGGGATAGATGTTAGAATCACATCCCTGCCGAGGATGTAAGTAATATTAACAAAACAAAAGTCGAGGCATTTTAGGACCTGCCTAGAAACTTGGGTACTTGTTCTGTTCCAAGTTTTTTTATCCGAAAAGTCCTGGAATGCTTTGGTTATAACAAAAATTCTATTGTTAACAACTGCCTAATTAAGTTTTCTTATTTTTCTAGGTGCTGCGTGATCTGATGTAAGTTTCTTTATTGTTATAACGTTTTGTACCTATTTACCTTTGTGTACAGGGTGGATATACACTATACAAGTTGGTATAGGTGTTTGTATATCTCGAATGATTTAATTTGGGTTTTGGTATTCTTATTACAAGATTTAGGTAAACATCTATGAATTAGATGTTCAGATTTTTTACATGTCTGTTAACAACATTCGTACTATACAGGGTGTATACCTATCTACTACAAACTGTAGTGGCTTTTCTGTTTTCTCGTTAAAATGCGACTATTTTGTCCTAAAATCTAAAAAGGAAACGTAAAAATCTTTTTACGTAACAACTACATACTTATTAGGTATCTACGTTTATAACACGCTTTACAACTTTAATAAAATTTCTAATTAATATTGCAACAAATATAATTAGATTATTAAATTATTAATACAGATCAACAAGGGTTTAACTATAACAATAATACTTAAATTATATAGAATATCTACTCATTCAGAAAAAAAAATAGGTACGCATTTTATTCGTTCTTTTATAACTGTTGTCGATAAATAATTACAATTTCTAATACAAAAGAGTCGATACATGTATTCATTGTTGGAAATAATTTTCTATTTCGTAAAGGGTTTTACCCTTTGTTTCTGGTATAAAATAATGTACAAAAAGGGACCCGCAAATGGCAACAATGCCGTAAAACAATTGAACTCCTGCCGAACCGAAAGCAATGTCTAGATATCTGTAACTATAAATCGCCACGAACATAGTACATGTAGTTGTGGATACACAAAATGCAGCCAAAATTCCCCTCATTTCCAAAGGGAACAATTCGCAAGCCAATATCCAAGGTATAGGTTCCAATCCTAACATCACTATTGCCATGTACAAGAAAATAAATAATATTGGCACCCATCCGAATCCTTTTAATCCTTCGAGTTTTATTAACCGAAAAAAATATATTTATATGTATATTTAGGGGTGCTATTAGGTCAATATCATACGTACCATTATGTGTCAATTTTGTAAAAATCCCTGAAATAAATAAGCAAATTGAGGCCCCCACACAACTTGCTATAAGGATGTGTTTCCTTTTGAATCTCTTGATTGTGTAAAGGTTTATCAGTGACAATATCACTGGCATCCCTGACACCAAATTAGACGCTATTAAAGGATCAACGGTGCTCCCTACATTCTAAATAATTATAATTTATAATTAGTTATATGTTAAATAACTGACTTGATTTAAGTAGGTAGGTACTAACTTCGAAAAAAGTTACTGAATACGCTATTATAACATAAACTCCAGAAAAGTTCTGAATAAGGAAGACACCGATTAGAATGATAGTCGGTTTATAAGCAGTAGGTTTTAAAAACTGGGAAATGCGATGATTCCATGTTTTTCTGTCTTTTCGTGTTTCACGTCTTATGTTATTTTCTTGCTTTAAAATTCCCAAGTGTATGTCAGCGTGACTCTAAAAGATCGATCGATAATTTTGGATTACAGTTTGTACGAATAATTTTTAAAATGTACTGTGTTTGTCGGAGAAGTTTGATATTTGTGAAGCCATTCCAGCGATTGTCTAGCCTGTTTTATTTTTCCTTTCTTTATCAACCATGTTGGACTTTCGTAGAGAAGAAAAGTCAGACCAGTACATATAACACTGTACAGAACACAACACCAGGCTATCGCTCGCCAACTCAAAAATAGACCTTTTAAATACATGAGTTCGACACCTAAAAGGATATGTATTACATCAAGCTAGCATGATTTTCTTATATATTTCTTATTTCTAAAGTGCTCAATCATTTGTCCGTTTAAACTGAAAAATTTGTCACTTCAGAAAATTGACGAAATGCAAGCTTTATATCAAGCCGCTTTACGTATAGCGCATCAGGAACTAGAAATGACGTAGAAATATACCGTAAGCGCTACAATTTGTCGCTGAAAGATAGTAGATACTTTTACTATTACCCATTTTGTCGCTGGTTTATCTTCTTCAACCTGGAGGATAAACTAAAAATGAGTAAAAGTACTATCGTTCAGTGACAAAGTATAGCACTTACGGTATTTTTCTACGTCACTTCTATTTCGAGATATGCTATGCGTAATGCTACCTTGACAACTCTCCAGTCAATTTTCGCTAGAAAACTGGAGGATAAATTAGAGACAAAACGGATAAAAGTTAAAGTACTATCTTCCAGCGACAAATTATAGCGATTACGGTATATTTCTACGTTATTTCTATTTCGATATAAGCTATGTGTAGTGCCATCCTAGTGATTCTCCAGTTGTCCTTCGCTGGACAACTGGAGGATAAACTAGAGACAAAATGGGTAAAAGTATCACCTGTCAGCGAGAAATTATAGCTGGAGAATCTCCAGGGAAGTACTGCATATAGCGTATTTCGAAACAGAAATAAAGTAAAACATTACCGTAAGCGCTATAATTTGTCGCTGAATTTCAGTACTTTCACTTTTACCCATTTTGTCTTTAGTTAATCTTCCAGTTGTCCAGCGAAAAGTCAACCTGGATGATACGCTAGAGACAAAATGGGTAAAGGTACTAATGTTCAGTGACAAAGTATAGCACTTACGGTATTTTTCTACGTCACTTCTATTTTGAGATGTGCTATGCGCAGTGCTACCTTGACAACTCTCCAGTCAATTTTCGCTGGACAACTGCAGGATAAATTAGACACAAAATGGATAAAAGTTAAAGTACTATCTTTCAGCGACAAATTATAGCGCTTACGGTATTTTTCTACGTCATTTCTACTTCGATGTAAGCTATGTGTAGTGCTATTCTGGCGATTCTCCGGTTGTCTTTCGCTGGACAACTGGAGGGTAAACTAAAGACAAAAGTATCATCTGTCAGCGACAAATTATAGCTGGAGAATCTCCAGGGAAGCACTACACATAGCGTATTTCGAAACAGAAATAAAGTAAAAAATTACTGTAAGCGCTATATTTTGTCCAGTTGTCCAGCGAAAAGTCAATCTGGAGGATAAATTAGAGACAAAAGTTTTTAATAAGCATACCTAGAGATGAAGTTACGCAGTTCAGAGCTAATAGAACACCTCTTGCGTTGGGCCACAATGTTTCCGTTAAATACACACTTCCAGGACTTGCACAAGCTAAAAAAAATTGAGTAATAAAAGATCAATTACTGTAGATATCTTCATATTTATAAACTTATTTTTATTGGTAACACTTGAAATACTTTAGTAGCAGCAAATAGCCACTAGATGGCGATATATGCCTCTATTTGGATATTTGATAAACTCGCTCTATAGGAGCTTTTTCGATTTGGTCTGTAGTGGCTGATGAGATCTAATAAGATCGAACTCGCGATTCGCGTCGTTTTTTTTTGATAAATTTCTGACATTTAAATTTAAAAAACAATTTAAATGCTCTAAGTAAATGTTTCCTCTGCGTACTGCTATATTATGTAACCATTTTCGGAAAACTTACACATGGCGAATCCTATAATCATTCTTCCTACGAGTAGCATGGTGGTGTTGGATGCTAGGGCAATTAGGGCCCATCCGGTGGCCCACGGGATAATTGACAATCTAACGGTGTTCAATCGACCAATATTGTCAGTGAAAAATCCGACAAAAACAAGAGAAACAGCCATCGTAAGTGAATTCACGCTAGCTCAAAGTATAAAACAATATAAAAGTCAATTATTTTGTTTACATATTAGAAAGATGCATAAATTCAATACTAAAAAATTACCCACAAAAATTCATTCCCTTTTTTTTGGATAAAAGAAGGAATTTAGAATGGCTTTATCAAGGTAGATTTTTTAAAGTTATTTATCTACCTACAAATATTGTCGGATGTGATAATAATTTCAAAAACTTTGCACTAAAAAGCGATACATTAATGTTGGTTGATGTTCATTTGCGAAATAAACTGGTTTTTGTGCCAAAACTGGCTTTGATTGTACGTACAGTTGGGTAAATTATTCGATTAATCGATTACTTTCATATCTTAAAAATAACCGATTAATCTTAATATTCGATAATATTATTAGTCCCCGATCCGCCTCGCCAATCCATTTCGGCTACACCTCGCTTAATTATCAATTTAATTGATTATAATAACGATTAACCGATAAAAATAATCGATTATTTCGATTAATTACAATGATCGATTTTTTACAATCGATAATAATCAAATAATAAGTGTAAAAATTGCGTTAAGTTAAGAGGGTGTTTTGCAAAATAATTTTAAAAAATTCGGTTACCAATCCAAGAACTTTCCCCAAATGTCGCATGTATTTCACTGTTTGGCTTTTCTATATCAGGTACTAAAATCCCCGAAAATGCTATAGACATTCCGATTAGCAAATTATAGGAAGTTACTATGATGGCTGCAATTAGCTGCAAGAAATTGTTTTATTATATTCTAGTTTTGGTTTATTACTATATATTTTTCAAAATTATCAATAATTATATTATATTCGCGCATTAATTACTTACCTGAGGAACTAACTCCTTAAAATTTTTTATTTCGTAAATTGACGGAGTAACTACATCTGGCTTAACTTCTTCTCCGTTGATACTTTCATTATTTCTAAAAATTAAAACTTTGTTCTGATGTATCTAATTTGCTAGTTCAAAAAATCTACTTTGTTACCTGAGAGGTTCCATTATAATGTTTTGACTGGGTTGTTTTACGCTGTGCTTTGAATTTTATGTGGCGAACACTTAATTATAGTTATTATTGCAAAACTGATAACAGCTAACCTAATTATAAAATACTACTGAAACATAAACCAAATGAAATTAACAATTTCAAAATTTTAGTTATGTAAAATGTAATTACATTTTTAAAACATTTTCACACTGTTTCTCAAAATATTGTACCTCTATAATCATAATACATGCAGTATATATCTTTCATTATTATATTTAATACATATTGTGTATTGAATATAATATTATACAGGGTGTCGATTTATTAATAATAACGATGCAGTATCTATATACCAATTCGGAAATTGAAAAGGCAGAAAACGGAATCAAAAGCCACCCTGTAATAATAAGTATTATATTATTTAACGGAAATGAGCTGAATATTATTGGTACATTCCGATTGTCATCGTTGAATTATTAGGAACTTTTTAATAGGGACAGTTTAGTAAGTTTTTGAAGTTCAGGAAAGTGATTATTTATAGTATTTTGTGCATAATTATCACTACTAATAGGAAATGAAATATTTAGAGGTCACCGGTTGAATATTCATTCATTCAATGAATATTCTATGACGTGTTTTGTTGGATTTTCCAATAGTTACAAAACTTTTTAGTAATTCGGTTCTTTCCTTTTATTCTTATTACATAAATAGACATAAAGTAGGTATGAAAATTTTATTTTGTATAGAAAAAGTCAAGTAGGTATATGGGGTTAGGTTAGGTTGTTTATAAACATTTAGAATGTAAGTTCGAGCTAATTTTCAATCAATTTTTAAGCGAAAATGTAACTGAATTTTTTTTAGCAATTGCCTAGAACTGATCAAAACTTGAAAAGCATTTTTCAAAAACTCCAAAATTTGGGCTAAAAACGATCGGGAACTGTAGAACTCCTTACTATTAATATCCCTCTTAGGTATAAGGACTGCTTCTCTATGTAAAAGGGTGTGGCATGAAATTAGCCCTCATAATTTAAGCTTTTGATTTTATTATTAAAAATACAGAACTATTGGGGCACCAGTGGCGGATTAAAGGGAGGGGGGTTATATAGTTATATGGTTTAATATTCAGGCGAAATCTAATGTAAGATTATATGACAGGGTTTTATAAGTCCCCAGAAGTGAAAGGGTTGTTTACATTTAAATGCTCCACGTATATATAAAGTTAACGGAAATGTGTGTAACCCGTCACTGTATAGTATTCCTAGGAAATGTATGTAATTCCTAAAATCGTTCGGAAATGTGTGAAATAAATTATATTAGACACATTTCCTAGGAAATCTATACATCTCCTAAATAGCAATCGGAAATGTATTACATTCAAGATGTCAATGGGTATGCGGGGATGGCGGAACAGGGGGAGGGTATTGCGTCATCCGATTAGGCGATTTATTGTATTTACAGATAACACTGATTCTCAGTTTACTAACGTGTTTTATTCATTTTATTCACAGAAAGCATTAGTTTTATACATTTCCTAGTACAATATCGGAATTTCATGCAATTCCTAGGAAATGTATACATTTCCCAGGATATGTGTGTATTAAAATTTTTGAAACAATATTCTATAGATTTCCTAAATAGCCTCGGAATTGTATACACTTCCTAGATTTCATTAATTTCCGGTAGCATACATATGGGATGAAAGGCAACATTTCAATTTTTTTTAGTGCAGTTCCCCCAATTGTAAATCTTAGATCCACTGTGGGGCACCCGTTCAAGAACTTAAAGAAGTATATATCTCACAAGAAAACTCAAAATTTATTAATTTACTTATGTCATTAGTCATTTAAAACACTTCTGACATTTTACATCTTTATATTTTATTTAGAAAAATTATATTTTTTATCTTTTAAAAATTTCCTCGATTTCCATTAGCGTTTTCCCCCTCGTTTCTGGCAAAATAAAATAGACAACTATAGAGCCTAATAGAGCAACTGAACCGTAAAACATTTGAAGTTCAAAAATTCCCATTGAATTTCTCATGAATCGGAAACTATAAATGGCCAGAAACATAATACATGAGCCCGCCGCCATCATTATGGACATAATTAGGCCTCTGAGCTCTTGGGGTACCATTTCTGCAAGCATTATCCATGGCACCGGCTCCCAACCTGCCATCGCTATTGCCATAAAAAGAAATATAAAGAATACCGGAACCCATTTCTGATTAGTAGTTCCTAAAAACAAAAAGAAGATGGCTTTGGTTCATTTAAATTTAAACAACGTTTTCAATTGCGTATTTAAATAGATAATATCACCGTGAAGTGCTGCCCCTATTGGCAGGGTTGCTGCTGTTTGCAGATTGTGAGGTTAGAGTTGCTAGCTTGACATGCTGCTAACGTCATACATGTGCGTGCGCATCTTCCGTTGCATGCTGCGCGCGAAACTGGTATGACTTTAAGTAATGTAGAAAAAGAAAAGAAGTAGGAAGAAGGCAATTCCTGTTATCCTTGCTGTTTTAGGGCGCGTTAGAAAAAAAAATAGGGATTTATTACTGCTTTTAATTTAAAATTGTCCGCTTCCCCGTTAGATAAAAGGGTTCAAAGTGCCCTGTAGTTTTTAAATAGGAAAAAAACTCCTGATTTTTGGCTTGCTATCATTAAGACTTTTGATCAGGAAGATTCAAATAGCATTTCCCTGTCAGTGTCATTATTCATTTTCCTGTCAAAAATTGCGAGGTACTTTGAATCTAGGAGACAGGTACGAGTGGGGTGTCCTTGTTCCGTGTTCGCCTTACATCCTATCAAATAATTCATTTTTTTTTTTTTAATTTTGTTTCACTTACCGTCATTGATCCATTTTGTAAAAAGTCCAGAAACAAACAAACAGATAGCGGATCCTAAGCAGCTACTTATAAGGATAGTTTTTCGCGGAAATCGCTTTATCGTGTAAAGGTTCATAATGCTTATGACAATGGGGAGTGTAGTTACTAAATTGGAAGATACAAGGGGGTCAATACTGCTACCTACACTCTGAAAATAAAATAGACGCGAATAACGACAAACATACCCTTGGTTGGAGAATTTTAAAAGGAGATACTTGCTGTAAAGAACGAGATTGCGTTGGCTTCTATTATGTAATAGCCTGAAAATTGCTGCAAGATTATGATGAAACTTATAATAGAAACTGGCTTGTAGACAGTAGGATTGAGAAATGCCGAAATTGATTGTGGTATTTTCCCTATTTTCGATTGATTTCTTTTTCTGACATCCCCTTCGTATATCAGGATGGCTAAATGAATATCAGCTAAATTCTGTAAACGTACAGGGTATTTAATAATTTTAGAACATTGGTTTTAAGGTGAGAACCCGCGCTAGAATTATGATCTGGAATTAAGAACTTGTTGTCTAAATGAACTTATTTGGCTGATATGAAACATTTTAAAACTCTGTAGTGGTTAATATTAAATATTAATGTAAAAATTCGNTATTAATGTGAAAATTTATCTTTAATTTTTATTCCAGGCGAAGATGTAACGACAGCATTAACTTGAGGTAATTAAAAATGAATTTTCACATTTTACACGCCTTTGGATCAATCATAATTCTACCGGGGGTTCTTTGTGGCTAAAAATTTAATATATATAATACCTGATTTGTTTGAGAAGTTTGATACTTATGCAGCCATTCTAATGATTTTCTTGCGTTTTTTGTTTTTCCTTTCTTTATTAGCCAAACTGGACTTTCGTATAGAAGAAATGTTAAACTTGCAATAATTAAATAGCACAAAATATATGACCACGCCATGGTTCTCCAGTACATGGCAAAACTTTGTAAATATGTCAATTCCATTCCTAAAGGGATTTAGTTAGGTTAGGCTTTCGTACTGGTTTGTTTTTTGTTAGATGAGAATACAGCGGTTTTTGTTAAATTGGTATTGAATGTTTTACTGCTATGCAAGGCAAAAAAATAGGGAAAGAGCGAATGTAAAGATAGGAAACGAATGATTAGAAGAAGTGGCTGATTTTAGGTATCTAGGAAGTCAGGACGAAAGGAGTAGTAGGGATAGAAAGTAGAGAATAGCGCAGGGTCGAGTCGCCTTCAATAAAAAGAAGTCACTTCTATGCTCGCGAACGATTAATTTAGAAATTCGAAAAAGATTGTTAAAGGTGGATGTTTGGAGCGTGGCGATGCACGGGTGCGAAACATGGACGGTAGGCGCGATGCGGATAAGAAAAGCTTAGAAGCTTCCAAATATGTATGGTGTGGTGTTACAGGCGAATGATGGGGATACCGTGGATAGAGAAGGTTAGAAACGAAGAGGTATTAGAAAGAATAGAGAACAGAGAACACTGTATGGAAGTCAATAAAAAATAGGCGAGATATGTTGGTACGACACCTTCTTGGGCATGAAGGTCAAGTCAGACACATATTAGAGGCAGAAACAACAGTTAAGAGAAGTAGATCTAGATTAGATTACTGTTTGAAAATAGTTAAGGATGTGGGATGTTCTAGTTTTAGGGAAATGCGGGATAGAAAGGAGTGGAGATGCGTGTCCAACCAGTCTTAGGACTGACGAGCGTTTGATGATGTAAGTTTAGGTTATGTTGTTCGACATCTCGAAAACGTTTCTGTTTTTTGTTGGGTTGGGTTACGTTAGGTTATAATGTGAATTGTTTTATTATTTATACCTATTGCGGCGGTTACACAACTAACTTCAAGAAGGGTACCTCTCATTGTAGGCCATGCTGTTTCGGTAATGTAAACACCAGCGCTGCAACAACTCATTACTAAAAATTGAAAAATTATTATTTGCAATTTATTTCTTTTCATACGTCTTTGTTATTCATCACAACATTTCAAATATCAAGTTACCCCACACAACAGTATACGTCTAATTATTTTCTAAATTTATTATTAGGTATTGTACCTGCTCCTACACCTAAAAAAGCTCTTCCTATTATCACTATTGTCGTATTCGTCCCAGAGGCGATTAGAATCCACCCAGTAATGGATGGTATAATTGATAATCTTATTGTCTTGAGTCTACCTATATTATCTATTAGAACTCCAGCTACAGGACTCCACAAAACCATAGTAATAAAATGCACGCTTGCTAAAACATAAGCAGTTATCATACAATTTTCCTCTATCATCTTTCTCTTGTTAAGTAAAAGAGCCCGCAACGGGGTATGTTTTTCTCATTTGCTAGGACTGTAAGTCTGATATTTCCAAAAAGAAATTTTTTTATTGCAATCGCAAGTGGAGATTCACTTTAACTTTAATTAATATTTCATTATTACTTAAATTAATCTTGTAAATTATTTTACCTATCCATGAATTGTCTGAGGTTGTTGTTTGAAAATTGCTGTCTGCTTTTTCTATTTCCGGTATCAAAATTCCAGAAAATGATAGAGTGATTCCCATCATCATATTAAACAAACAAAGGATTAAACTTGCCTGTATCTGAATTTAATTAAGCGTAATTAAAAGAAATGTAGCCTTTTTGTGGGACTTACCTGGGGAATTACATCTTTGAGTTTTTTTATTTCGTAAATTTTGGTAATATTTTTGTCGTAATAATTTTTATCAATTTTTTCGTCTCTGTGAAAATAAATCCATAATGCATAAGTTAAGTTGGATTATTAATCTTTTCGATTATTTATTAATACTTACGCTAGAACCAGAGGTATCATTCTGCTCGACCTTATTCTTCGAATAGTTTTACGTGTTATTTACTGTAAGGCATTCGGTATAAAGGGTTTTCAAATTTTATTTTTAACTGTAGTTAGTGTTATTCAAATTGGATTTTTTAAAAACTCCGAATTTTTCTCCTGTGATAAGAATATAAAGGAGTTGCCGGGCGTTGTTTGTACTTGTCTAGTTGAGAATTCATTCAAATATTTTTGTGATTGCATAAATTATTTGTTAATGAAATAGTTAGGATATCTCTAGAGACTCAAAAGTATTTGGTTCGGTGAAGTAAAAAAATAATTCTGTTTTTTTAACTAATCTAACAGTTTAAATCAAAGAACGATTAACTTAATTAAAAATTTAAATGAGCCATCTGGCATCAGATTTTTTAATAAATATTTATTTTTAAAATTACAAAAACAGTACATCATCTTATAATAAATTAATAGCACCATTTGTCATTTGAAGTGCGCTTCGATTTCTGATAGTGTTTTCCCTTTCGTAACGGGTAGTAACAAATACACATACGGCACCCCTAAAAGAGACACGGTACCAAAAAACAGTTGCAGCATTGAAGCACCTCCAAACAACCGATAGAGTGACGTATAGCTCTGAATAGCTATGAACATTATACAGCACGCGGCACTCATAAATATTCCCGAAATAATTCCGCGATTTCCCAGCGGGAACATTTCTGTTGCGACCACCCATGGTAAAGGTTCTAATCCTAAAATAGCCATGATCATGTAGATGAAAAGACAGGCTACTGGTACCCATTTGTGGTCGGTAGTACCTGTGTGATAGATAAATTTATTGGCTAAATGAAGACTTTTATACTCGAGGGTATTCGACGAAGTATACAATTTTTATACAAATACCTTCGTGAATCCATTTCGTAAAGAGAGCTGACGTATATAAACATATGGCGATTCCAAAGCAGCTTGCAATTAAAAGTGACCTCTTGTCGAAATATTTCAATGTTATTACGTTTATCATGGCCACAAAAACGGGGATTCCCGTAACAAGGTTCGTTGCTATTAAAGGATCAATGTCGCTACCCGTACTCTGTAACATAATATGTGATATATACAATGTATCTGTGAACGTATTATTTATTACCTGAAAAAAATTAATTGCAAAAGCCGTGAAGACGTATATCCCGGAAAATTGTTGAATAAAAATGAGACCTAAGCCCAAAAGCATTGCCTTGATGGTGGCAGGTTTGGGAAAGATATCAAAATAATTGGTTTTTCTTTTCATTTGTGACTTCTTCTCCCACTTGCTGTCGCACTCGTGTTTCAACACGTTCAAATGAGATTCTGTAAGAGTCTGAAACAAACAAATGAGGAAGGTATTCTTGTTTTGACGATTTTACTCCATAAAATGAAACTTACTGGACATTCAGGATGGTATTTATTAAACCATAGCAGAGATTCTCTACATTTGTTGATTTTATTTTTGCCAATTAACCAGACTGGAGTTTCTGGGATAAGAAAACAAAGAGAGACAGCCGCAATGGTACTAAACGTACACGACCATGCGACAGTTCTCCAATGCATTACGAAACCCAGTAAATATACTATTGCGACCCCTAGAAATTTAAAATAGAAAGAGTTAATATAAAAGTGGACATGTTGGAATGCTTAATGTGAGACTGGGTTAAATTTGGGGGTTAATTTTTGACTAGGTTTGCTGATGGGTTTTCTGGGTTATTGACTTGACTAGAGTGACCATTTTTAGGATAGGTTAGGTTAGGTTAAAATAATAATTACGTAAGAGAGGATAATGTAGAAAAACGTGTTATGTATTTTATTCCTTATTCTTACCAATAGAAGAAGTGAGACATGGGACTACCATGAGAACGCTTCTTACATTCGGCCAACTTGTTTCCCCCAGGTATACGCCAGCCGTAACGAGACTAAAAGCTGTTAAATTCTTCTTAGAAACACTACCCGGACTTAGGAATACAGGGACGGAAACTAAACTGCCGGAAAATGTAGTAAGGTGTAGCAGGTGCCTACATTCCATTGGTCAACCGCACTGCGCACGCTTACTAGGTCAATTACGGTGTAATTTGCTAGCGATTAGTTGATGTGCAAATGTAACCAATGAGATTTAGGCACCACTGGACTGGTACCACCCATTCTTTCCTGGTGACACTTTTAGTTCTGTCCCTATAGTCGTATGTCTATGATTTATTCACAATCGAAGAGTTTACCTGATCCTAACCCTGTCAGTGCCCTTCCACAAAGTAGGATTTGAATTGTGGATGCTTTTGTAATTAAAATCCAGCCTATTATCGTGGGAATAGCCGATATTTTTATGGTGGTTAAACGGCCAAAATTTTCTTCGAGAATGCCGATAAAAAGAGACCCGGTCATCATCGTGAAGGAATTTACACTAGCTGAAGATATTTTGATGGTAAAATATGAATATCGTGATCAATGTAATTTTGAACTTACCCATCCAAGAGATTTCGTTATCAGTTACGTTTATCTCGCTGTGGGGTGATTCCAAGGCAGGAATTAGTACACCAGAAAATGACAGAGCCATCCCTGTTATCATGTTGAATAGGCAGACCGTTATCCCCGCGAAAACCTATTAGAAAAATCAAAACAACAAAAAAATGACTTAAGCAGTTTTGTATGAATGATTTTCTCGAAAAATTAGATGAAGTGGCAGATTTTAGGCATCTAGGAAGTCAGATAAGTCAAGACGGAAGGAGTACTAGGGATACAAAGCAGAGGATAGCACAGGGTCGAGTCGCCTTTAATAAAAAGAAATCATTTCCATGCTCGCGAACGGTTAATTTAGAAATTCGAAAAATAATGTTAAGGGTGTATGTTTGGAGCGCGGCGCTGTATGGGTGCGAAACATGGCCGGTGGGTGCGACGAAAAAAAAAAGTTAGAAGCGTTTGAAATGTGGTGTCATAGGCGAATGATGATGATATCGTGGATAGAGAAGGTTAGAAATGAAGAGGAATTAGAAAGGATAAGGGAAGAGAGGATTCTATGGAAGTCAAAAAGAAATAAGCGAGATAGTTTGGTAGGACACCTTTTCAGGCATGGAGGTCTAGTCAGAGATATATTAGAGACAGAAACAGGAGTTAAGAGGAATAGAGATAGACCTAGATTAGATTACTGTTCGCAAATAGTTAAGGATGTGGGTTGTTCTGGTTTTAAGAAAATGCGAAGATTAGCTCAGGATAGGAAAGAGTGAAGGTGCGTGTCCAAACAGTCTTAGGACTGACGACCTTATGATGATGATGAGTATAACTAGGGTAGATTGCTCTGCAATTACGATATCCAAACAAAAAAAATATAAAAATACAACACAAAATAGAATAATTAATCATGTAGATGAAAAGACAGGCTACTGGTACCCATTTGTGGTCGGTAGTACCTGTGTGATGATAGATAAATTTATTGGCTAAATGAAGACTTTTATACTCGAGGGTATTCGACGAAGTATACAATTTTTATACAAATACCTTCGTGAATCCATTTCGTAAAGAGAGCTGACGTATATAAACATATGGCGATTCCAAAGCAGCTTGCAATTAAAAGTGACCTCTTGTCGAAATATTTCAATGTTATTACGTTTATCATGGCCACAAAAACGGGGATTCCCGTAACAAGGTTCGTTGCTATTAAAGGATCAATGTCGCTACCCGTACTCTGTAACATAATATGTGATATATATACAATGTATCTGTGAACGTATTATTTATTACCTGAAAAAAATTAATTGCAAAAGCCGTGAAGACGTATATCCCGGAAAATTGTTGAATAAAAATGAGACCTAAGCCCAAAAGCATTGCCTTGATGGTGGCAGGTTTGCGAAAGATATCAAAATAATTGGTTTTTCTTTTCATTTGTGACTTCTTCTCCCACTTGCTGTCGCACTCGTGTTTCAACACGTTCAAATGAGATTCTGTAAGAGTCTGAAACAAACAAATGAGGAAGGTATTCTTGTTTTGACGATTTTACTCCATAAAATGAAACTTACTGGACATTCAGGATGGTATTTATTAAACCATAGCAGAGATTCTCTACATTTGTTGATTTTATTTTTGCCAATTAACCAGACTGGAGTTTCTGGGATAAGAAAACAAAGAGAGACAGCCGCAATGGTACTAAACGTACACGACCATGCGACAGTTCTCCAATGCATTACGAAACCCAGTAAATATACTATTGCGACCCCTAGAAATTTAAAATAGAAAGAGTTAATATAAAAGTGGACATGTTGGAATGCTTAATGTGACACTGGGTTAAATTTGGGTGTTTATTTTTGACTAAGTTTGCTGATGGGTTTTCTGGGTTATTGACTTGACTAGAGTGACCATTTTTAGGATAGGTTAAAATGATAATTACATAAGAATTATATTGAGAGGGTAATGTAGAAAAACGTATTATGCATTTTATTACTTTATTCTTACCAATAGAAGAAGTGAGACATGGTACTACCATGAGAACGCTCCTTACATTCGGCCAACTTGTTTCCCCCAGGTATACGCCAGCCGTAACGAGACTAAAAGCTGTTAAATTCTTCTTAGAAACACTACCCGGACTTAGGAATACAGGGACGGAAACTAAACTGCCGGAAAATGTAGTAAGGTGTAGCAGGTGCCTACATTCCATTGGTCAACCGCACTGCGCACGCTTACTAGGTCAATTACGGTGTAATTTGCTAGCGATTAGTTGATGTGCAAATGTAACCAATGAGATTTAGGCACCACTGGACTGGTACCACCCATTCTTTCCTGGTGACACTTTTAGTTCTGTCCCTATAGTCGTATGTCTATGATTTATTCACAATCGAAGAGTTTACCTGATCCTAACCCTGTCAGTGCCCTTCCACAAAGTAGGATTTGAATTGTGGATGCTTTTGTAATTAAAATCCAGCCTATTATCGTGGGAATAGCCGATATTTTTATGGTGGTTAAACGGCCAAAATTTTCTTCGAGAATGCCGGTAAAAAGAGACCCGGTCATCATCGTGAAGGAATTTACACTAGCTGAAGATATTTTGATGGTAAAATATGAATATCGTGATCAATGTAATTTTGAACTTACCCATCCAAGAGATTTCGTTATCAGTTACGTTTATCTCGCTGTGGGGTGATTCCAAGGCAGGAATTAGTACACCAGAAAATGACAGAGCCATCCCTGTNGGACATGCCCCATGTTGCGTGGCAGTGGACTTAAGGTAAATCAAAATCATTGTTATTCGGTATTTCTATGTCCAAATTAGAATGCAATTGGAACTTGAAGTGAAAAATGTCATCAATACGAGTTTGAAAGAAGAAAGTATTGCTTCCACCGCTTTACGTTAAACTTGGTTTGATCAAACAGTTTGTAAAGGCATTTCGACTTGACCAACGGTGATTATTTCATGTTTGGATATCGAAGTCATGATTTATATAGGTTTTAAGCACATAAAAAAAACGTAAGGACACAAAAAATTACTTTTTAAGGAAAAAGTCAATTCAAAAATCACGTTTTTTTTGTTTATTTTCGATCTTTCAATGCTTTAATATTGTCGGAGGTATTTTTAACCAACACCATCGAAAAGAGTATCGTTAAAAACATAGAAACACTGGTTATCGAATATTTGTTCGTCGCACTCATTACGTGGCAAGGGTTCAAATGGAAATGTGTTCTCTGAGCATTTATGGGTTAATGTGACGTGGTATACACCGTATAAATATCGTTTCCTATTACTTTTAAGACAATTATGACAAACATTAACAATTTAAGAAAAAAACCTTTAAAAAAAATTTCGCAGACCTGTGTAATCTATTATTTTGATTAAATGGCTATTTAATCACTAAATTATTTTATTATGTGGTAATACTTTAAAAATAAAAATAGTGGATAAATAGTTGATTATATGTTAATTTTGATCTTTACCTTCGTGTATCCATTTGGTGAATAGTCCTGAAATATATAGACATGCTCCCATGCCAGCACAGCTGAATAGCATGAGGGGCTTTTTGTTAAAAATCTTTAGAGAAAACACGTTTAATATTGACATGACTACTGTAGATCCAGTAATAAGGTTTGATGCTAAAATGGGGTCAACGCTTGAACCTACACCCTAAAAGATAACATAAGACTCTTATAAATAATATTAAGCTAGGAGGATAACTGGGAAACAGTAGCAAAAATAATAAAACTTTAATTTGTTAATTCAAAAAGATAATATCTATCTATCTAAATGTATTCAATGTTCGTCTTTCTGTTTTTATTTTTATTAAATGGCTTGATGTCAACTTTGAGTTAGTAGAAACAATTGGAAAAAAGTCATCGGGTCTAAGTAGAGTGTATTGTTGGTTGCATAAATATCAACCGTTTATTTCGCATAGCAATTAATTTGTGCACAGAAGTTTGTGTAAAAAAATCATTTACGTCTCGCAAAATTCTCTATCAATTGACTAATTAATTAATAAACTTAACAAAAATAATAAATAGGTCAATAATAAGAATAAAACTATTATTTTAGAAAGTACTATAAATGGCCCAGTGAACGCCATCTGTAGCACGATGCTAGGTAAAAGTTGATCTGTGTTCTGNAGATAATACTACAAAAATAATTCCCAGTTTTTTTTTTGTACTGTGCACAAAATTTAGATTATATTTATTATTTAAAATATTCTTCAATTTCGGATAACTTTTTTCCTTTGGTTTCCGGTACGAAAAGGTGTATGTAGCCGACGCCCAGAAAGCCTAATACATATACACATATGTATTATGGAATTGTACAACGCTAATTTATTTTCGTGTTTCTTTTTTTCGAAATTTTGACAACAGCAACGTCATTTATGTAAACAATATAATCGTATTAAAAAAAAATAAGTTAATTGAGAAAACAAATACACGTGAGTTTTATTGTTTTATAAATGCGTAACTGAGCGTCCTATCGTTAAGTTTCTATTGTCCGTTGACTTTATCTGACAGACGGGAGTAGGTAATAAATAAGTGCCTACCTCGAAAAATATGACTGCATTGAAAATGATGACATAGGCTCCAGAGAATTGTTGAATTATGAACAAACCGATTAGAATTATTGTAGGTTTATAGCCCGTTGGCTTTAAGAAGTCTGAAAGTATATTGCTCTTCTCTTTTTCTTGCTCCAACTCTTTCATGACTGTCTGCTCTTTTTTTAAAATTGAAAAATGTACTTCCACAATGTCCTGAATGAAATATTTAAACAATTAATGTATGTACTTATTTAGTATGGTATAATATTAGCTTACCTGTTCTTCAGGGTGTTGCTTGTGATATTTATGAAGCCATTGCAAACATTTTTTTGCCTCCTTCTCTTTACCCTTGCTCATTAGCCAGACGGGGCTTTCGTGGATTGTAAAGAGTAACAATATGGGAATGAAACTGAGAACCATGGCAGTCCAAGCTATCGTCCTCCAGCCCATTAAAGTATTTAATAAATAAACCAATTCCATACCTAAAAGCGAATTAAAGAAACATGTCGAGGATTGAAAAGAATTCTTCATGCAGTACGGCGGAAGTGAAAACAAATCATTGAAGATATCATGTACTTTGAAGGTCAAAATTGTTTTAAAATTAGTTTTCTTAACTTAGGGTCAAAACTTACCAATGGTAGACAATAGGGTTAAAACTGATGTTAGGGAACCTCTCAAATCCGGCCTTGAAATTTCTGAGATATAAACAGGGACGGAGTTAACTCCTAAAGCTGAAAATTAAATAAACGATAAAAATATGTTTGGTAGGTGCAAGATAAATCGTTCATCATGACTGAAGGCAGTGGAAGTAAATATTCCACTCTGACTTGAAACTGCATACGTAATACTACACCCCGATAGGGCGTCATCCATACCAGAGTATTCCATCTGCAGCATCCACTCAGAATGAAGGATTTATGTCCACTGTCTCCAGTCAGGGTGAAGGGTTTTCTTCCACAGCTCCGCGCAAGCCGGAGGACTTGCATGATCATTGGAGGATTTACGTCTGCAGCTTTTAGTATTCACTTCCATTACCTCTAGTAAGGGTAGAGTCAATGGAAATAAATGCTCCAGTGAAGGCAGTGGAAGTACAATCCTTACTCTGACTGGTAACTGCTGATGTAAAACCTCATCCTAACTGGATGCAGTCGTTGCAAATTATCTACTTTGATCTCAAGATGCATATGTAATATTACACCACGGCAGGAGGTGCAGCATCTTCTATTTACTTTCATTACCTCCAGTAAGGGTGGAGTTAGTGGAAATAAATCGTTCATCATGACTGAAGGCAATGGAACTAAATATTCCACTCTGACTGGAAACTGCATACGTAATACTACACCCCGATAGGGCGTCATCCACAGCAGAGTATTCCATCTGCAGCATCCACTCAGAGTGAAGGATTTATGTCCACTGTCTCCAGCCAGGGTGGAAGATTTACACTCAATGCCTCCAGTTAAGGTGGAGTCAGTAGAAGTAAATTGTCTAGCCTCCATATTAAAACGAATCGTCAAGTTCTATTAAAAGTAATTTTGAGTTTACGTACTAAGTCTTCAGGATAAGTTAGCTTTGGTTAGCATGACCTATGCTAAGTGGTTACAATACAGTTTTTCAATTTTACATGTCTTATTTAATTGGTTAGTATATCATTTTAGGTTTACCTCCACTTATTCCTACAAAAACTCGACCTATCAATAGCATGGTGGTGCTTTTAGCAAGGGCAATTAAAACCCAACCCACCGTAATGGGTATGATGGATATTTTTATGCAGTTTAATCGGCCAATTCTATCCATTACGGGTCCACATGTCAGACTTGTCAGTGCTATTACTAGGGTGGTTATACTTGCTAGAAAAAATAATATGTGGGGGTGACTGGTACTTGAACTGGGGGTGGTACTGCTTACCGATTAAGGAACTTTCTGTCGTCGTTACTTTTATATCGGAATTAGGACTTTCAATAGCAGGAATAAGGATGCCGGTGTACGCTAAACCTAGTCCTACAATTAAATTGAATCCTGACGCTACAAACGTTCCAATACACTGTAGATTACATAAAAAATAAAACAGAGAGTGAATATTTAGTTAATGTTATTGAACTACTACTTAATTATTACTGGTTAAAACAATAACAAATGTTTTGTTTATCCATATATATTGATAAAATAAAAGTAATTGGGAGAAGATTGTTATAAAATATGGACATTTCTGTACGGTTTGAGTTTTTGTTTTATTTATTACTAGTGACCCGCCCCAGCTTCGCACGGGTGCAATGCTGATACTAAATATATTTTTGTTTTGTTTAGATTATTATCGAAGAGGGGAAATCTTCAAAAGATACCCCATGAACATACTAAATATACTACAGAATGTCTTTATATACAACATTCACAGTTTTTTTGTCATTAGACAATACAAACCGGCCTCCCGGCCGGTACCGCCGCAACCGCTATGTCCCTGCATTTTAAATCTGTAATATCTTCGAAAATATTCATTTAAATTACATGCTGTAAAGGGCCATATTGATCTATATTAAATGCACAATGTATTTAAGGTACTTAATTGGATAAGAATTAATGCCGTATTGCCTACAATCGCTTCGTAAATAAGTCATTATTTCTCATAAAAAGTAAAGGATAAAAATGGTTATTGTGGGTTATCCCTAAGAGATAGACATATACCATCGCGGACTTTTTTGTAGACCCTTTTAAGATGTACAATATTGTAGTACATTATTTTGATCTATCTCGTAGGGTTCAGCCAGCGTTTGCAATGTAAGCGCAAAAAATGTGTTTATTTACGACATCACATTAGAAACCTCTAAAATTATCAGTGTTTCCCTACTATATTATGCATGTATTATACATATAAACCTTCCTCTTGAATCACTCTATCTTTTAAAAACACCGCATCAAAATTCGTAGCGTAGTTTTAAAGATTTAAGCATACATAGGGACAGACAGCGGGAAAGCGACTTCGTTTTATACTATGTAGTGATATCAACATTAGAATGATTTCTGAATTAAATAAAAGCTCAATATTGAAAATCGTACCTGAGGTAGAACACTTTTAAATGACTTATTTTCATAGTCAGCTAAAGTCATTTTACTGGCCATAATTTCTGCTAGTTTTTCATCTGCTTTATCATCATTAATAGACACAGAATAACCCTGTTTACTAAAAAATATAAGAGGAATAATAAAAAATAACATTTGTACTATTTTTGGCTTTTATTACTTACCTTTCGGATTTCATGGTGATGACTTCTTCTTCCACGGTTCGCACTTATTTTAATATCCCTCTAAGGTACTCACTGAATTGAGCACTTTAACAATTACATCTCTTAAATATTAAATTATTTAAAACAATAGCGTTAATAAATATGAAATACGAATGTGTGCTTTTATTTGTGAATCGTATCTTATCTTTTTCGTTAGTAAAGGTCAGACAAGAAGAATCGTTTGTGTGCATTGTTGTTTTATACTTTTAGAAAAAAAAAATAGGCGGCCTAAATCTTAAGGATTACATCTTATAAATATTTAGTGGATGAATTAAAGGCAACCATAGGTTAAAAGTGTTCTATTTTTCAAAAATTACAGCCAATGATTCGCCCTTAATTGTTGGACTTCCTCAAGGCTAATTTTTTAAGTCAATGAGACCGTTTGCTATGTATATCATGGGCCTATTATGGCTATTATGTAGCCATATTAATTTTGTCGAGTCATCTTTAACAAAAAGAAGTCACGTCTATGTTTGCGAACGGTTATGTATGCCTGGAGCATAGCTCTGTATGGGTACGATATGTGGACGGTGGGCGCGGCGGTAAAGAAAAGATTAGAAGCGTTCGAAATGTCGTGTTAATGGCGAATGATGAGGATTCCGTGGATAGAGAACGCTACAATGAGTAAGAGGACAGACGTATTAGAAGCAGAAACAGGAGCTAAGAAGATTAGAGATAGATTTAGATTAGATTACTGTTCACAAACAGTAAAGGACGTGGAACGTTTCAATTTTAAAGATATCCGAAGATTATTTCAGGAGTGGAAGTGCCAGTTTCAGGACTGACGACCTCATGATTAATCTTCTTTACTTGAATCTTTTATACAAGGCGTCCAGAAACAGTAGGGAGTATTTGTATCTGCGCTGTCCTTGTAACGGCGCGATTTAGAGGAGTGCGATAGGGATAGGTTGTTTCACTATTTTTTGTAGATTTAATGATCATGGAAGTGTATCCGGGAGACCATCGTGCTTTTTGCGTACGCGCCTTTTATCGCAATCGTGATCCGATGATCACAGCTCAACGATTATATCGGTCAAAATTCAATGTACGGAATACACCGAAGGACGATACTATCAGAAAATGGATTCGAATGTTCGAGAATACTGGTTCGACTGCAAGAATTCACAATCCAAATCGCTCGCGCTCTGTTCGAACCCAACAAACGATTAAAGAAATGAGAGTATCACTGCATGAAAATCCGTCTCAATCAGTTCGCAAACGCAGTCAAGAACTTGACATTAAAAAATCGTTGTTATAGAAGATCCTGAAGCAAGATTTACATCTTACAGCCTACAAAATTCAGTTAGTTCAAAAACTGAACGTTATCGATTATCCTCTCCAACTGAATTTTGCAAATGAAATGCTTCAACGCTTTCCACATTTGAAAACATTCTGTTTAGTGACGACTTAAATGGTCACGTAAACAAACAGAACTGTCGCTACTGGGTCAAAGAAAATCCAAGACATAATCATGAACCATGTCTGGTAAAGGCATCTTTGGGCCTATGTTGTTTGAAGACCGGCGAGGGCAAACAGTGACCAGTATTGTAACATGTTAAGAAACTTTTTGGTTCCACAACTGTAAGAGTTTGGTGGTTTTAATGTGGAAAGATGATTTCAACAAGATGGGGTCACTTGCCACACCTCAAACCAATCGTTTGCGGTTGTCAATCAACTTTTCCCGGAAAATGTGATCTCTCGTCGAGGCACCATCAACTGGCCTTCGAGAAGCCTCGATCTCACACCTCCTGATTATTTTTTTATGGGGATACCTTGAAGAGAAGGTGTATGCAAACAAACCACGATCTCTACTGCAATGGAAGCAGAATATCCACACCGAAATGACAGCCGTTTCCAGAGAGACGTGTCTAAAATTAACAAAAAGGACTTTTTTCTGATCCCCTACCCTTTCTGGATACCCTGCATCATATTAATTAAAGTTTTGAATCCAGTGAATCGTTTGGACATTCGCAATCTTTGGAATTCCTTATAGAAAAAAAAAATCGGTTGTCTGTAAAGTCGGTTTACTGACGATAGTCAAAAGAAAATTTTAATTTTATTTGGTTGATAGATATTTTGTATGGATATAGAGAAGGAGGTAAATGGAAATGTATTATTGTATAGCAGCTGTCCACGCGGACGCATCGCTCACTCAAGTAGGAGAGAGACAGATGTCGAACGCTGCCGAACGCGAAAGCCGATTGTGCCTCTTTGTCGCTCGTTCCGCGCTCTCGCTTCCACTTCAAGCCTTAAATGGAACGCCTCAGAGCAAGGTAACGCCGCATGAGTCATGTTTTTTCGTGCGTGCAGCCGGCTCCATCGAATTATAAGACGTTGTCACGTCAAAAATAAAAATCAAACTATAAAATTCTGAAATACATAACTCCTAACTTTATAATTTTTCGAGAAATACATCACTGGAATACGGGGGCACTTGTAGAGCCCCATGAGTCGGCGGCGCTTCGCAGCCTTGATCATTTTCGTTATCTTACAATTAAATCCGTCGCCTGTAGCTTGTGCATGATCTTATCTATTTGCCTGAAATTATTTAACGGTAAGCTTAAATTTTGTTGACGTTGGGTTGAAATTTCGTTATCTAATGTGGGATTTCCCAAACAGGTGTATTTGTGTTTTTCTTTCTCAATATATATTTTGATAATGGTTGTTTCGTAAATAACAAAGGAAAGAAAATATTCGGTTTATTTATTTAACAATTAGTAGCCAAAGCGTATTTATTATATACATAACGTGACGTAACAAGATAATACTACAAAAATAATTCCCAGTTTTTTTTTTGTACTGTGCACAAAATTTAGATTATATTTATTATTTAAAATATTCTTCAATTTCGGATAACTTTTTTCCTTTGGTTTCCGGTACGAAAAGGTGTATGTAGCCGACGCCCAGAAAGCATACTATCCCATAGAAGAATTGAATGCCAACAGAGCCTCCTAACAGATAGTTTAAATATCTGTAACTTTGAATGGATGCAAACATTATTAGAGCCGCAATTGAAATTACTAAACTCGCCGCAATTCCACGTAGATCGAGTGGGAAAACTTCGGCACACATCGTCCACGGCACTGGCATTAAACCAATCATAGCTATTACCATGTACATAAACAAGAGAACTAAAGGGATCCATTTGTTGCCTGTTTTACCTAAAAGATTGACCACTTTGTACAGTGCGAATGTCAGATGTTCGATTAAAAGAAAAATACCTTCATGGATCCATTTCGTAAAAAGTCCAGAAATAAATAGACATATTCCCATTCCAACACAGCTGAGTAGCATAAGGTGTTTCTTCTTGAAAATTTTTAATGCGAATATGTTAAACACGGACATCACAACAGTAGAACCAGTGATAAGATTTGATGCCAATATTGGGTCTATATTTGTACCAACTTCCTAAAATTTATACCATTGTTTAGACAACCTAACGAGACTAACCCACTTTAGTTAAATAAAAGGCTTTAGGAATCCAAGTTTTATTTTAAGTACGTTATACTTAAACAAAAATATTGATATGCAAGGGAAAGATAGGAGACGAGAAATAAGAAGAAGCAGTTGATTTTCGGTATCTAGGAAGTCAGATAAGACAGGATGGAAGGAGCAGTGAAGATATAAAACGAGGATAGCGCAGAATAAGGTCGCTTTTAACAAAAAATCGGTTGTCTGTAAAGTCGGTTTACTGACGATAGTTGAACGTGACAACGTCATAAGAAAATACTGATGGAATGGTTTCATTTTTCAAAAGAAAATTTTAATTTTATTTGTTTGATAGATATTTTGTATGGATATAGAGAAGGAGGTAAATGGAAATGTATTATTGTATAGCAGCTGTCCACGCGGACGCATCGCTCACTCAAGTAGGAGAGAGACAGATGTCGAACGCTGCCGAACGCGGAGGCGATTGTGCCTCTTTGCCGCTCGTTCCGCGCTCTCGCTTGCACTTCAAACCTTAAATGGAACGCCTCAGAGCGAGGTAACGCCGCATGAGTCATGTTTTTTCGTGTGTGCAGCCGGCTCCATCGAATTATAAGACGTTGTCACGTCAAAAAAGTCACGCGATATAGGAGAACAAAGGACTGTATGGAAGTAAATAAAAAATAGGCGAGATAGGTTGGTAGGACACCTTCTCAGGCATGAAGGGCTTGTTAGAGACATATTAAAAGCAGAAACAGGAGACTAACTCAGGATAGGAAAGAGTGGAGGTGCGTGTCCAATCAGTTTTAGGACTGACGACGTTATGATGATGATATGATACTTACCTCAAAAAATATGACCGCATTAAAAATAATAACATAGGCCCCTGAGAACTGTTGAATAATGAATAAACCTAGTAAAATTATGACTGGTTTGTAACCCGTAGGTTTTAAAAATTCTCGTAATTTACTTCCTCTCTTTTGTTTTTGTTGGTCAAATTCCTGCATTATGTTTTGTTCTTTTTTCAAAATTGACAGGTGAATTTCGACTATATCCTAAAACGTTATCGCCTTTAAAATCCAAAAGTTTTGTTTTCGTTTGTTTATAATAATAAAAACCTGATCATTTGGATGCTGTTTGTGATACTTGTGTAACCATTTCAGAGAGTTTTTAGCTTCGGTTTCTCTACCCTTGCTTATCAACCAAGCGGGACTTTCGTGAATGAAAAAAAGCAAAATTATTGGTAGAAAACAAAGTCCCGTTGCGGCCCAAGCCATGGTTCTCCATCCCATCACGATGTTTGATAAATATACGAGCTCCATACCTAGCAATTGATCGATTGATTGTTTGTTACTAAATAATAATTTAGGGCGGCGTACCAATACATGAAAATAAGGTCAAAACAGATACCAGTGCACCCCTGAGATCTGGCCTGGCGATTTCCGTTATATAAACTGGTACAGGATTAACCCCCAATGCTAGAAATTTATTATTTAATCTGTTTTATTAATTTTTTGTTATGCGCTTAATTAAAAATTGAATTACGTAGTTACCTCCTGTTATGCCAATTAAAATTCTACCTACAAATAACATGTGAACGTTATTGGCCGTAGCAATAAGGATCCAGCCAATAAACATGGGCATAATGGATACTTTTATGGTGTTTAATCTTCCTACCTTGTCCATTATGGGACCGCAGATAAGGCCAGCCAAGGCTATCATTAACGTCGTAATGCTCGCTACAGTGTGACAAAAATGCACATTTAATAAAAAAAAAATTATTATTATTTGAGAGGTTACTAATGTCGAAAAAAGGCATTTTCTTTTACTTAAAAGTGAATATTATACGAGGGTGGATTGATAAGTTTCCGGCCTAACCAAGAGATGACGCCACTAGGCCTACCTTGAGGTGACATTCTATAGTACCATCCTTGGATAGCTTGTAGCTATAGTTTCAGCCCGATCTCCTTGCTAGTGTAGGTTTGACAGCACGCTGAACAAGACGCCTCTGTGGTTTTCGTAAAAATGGAAAAGCAGGAAAATCGT